CTTCAACATGAATCTGTAAGACAAGCCTTCATTTCCTTCGCTTCTCGATAACTATCTGCTTAAAATTCTACAGGTTAATGCAGACTGAATACTTTGCACCATTTGCTATGTACTTACCAACATGTCAAGCACAGTTGAGTCTTTGTATTTTGCACAGAGACGAAGTGATAGCTATACACAAATAGAAAAGCTTGAATTTTGAATCCAAAAAGAAACACGTACAACTGATTTCACTAACTTAGCCTGTTTTAGAATGCAGAAATCTCCACACACACAAAAAACACCATACAATGAATAACAATTATGGATAAGATTTTATTTTGATAAATCACACAGTGTTGTACAGTAATATTTGCTGATATAGTTAAGTGTGTCTAACAAACCGAGCAATAGCAATAGTACAGTAAAAAACCTAGACGATGAAATAGAACAGACTGTAAAAGCATTGGTGTTAATTAACTGTCCTATAAAATTCCCATTAGGAAGATCAGAAAAGGTCAAAATAAAAATAATGGGGAAACTAATCATGATAAGATAAATAAGAAGGAATATAAGACATCTACAACAGTTTTACCACATAAGGAAGGGGCATCTGAGCCCCAACATAGGATTCTTAATGTAGTAGGAATTAGGGTGGCAAGCTCTGTAGGCTAAAAGACCCGGTGGACCTAGTTAAACAAAATAATATAATTTACAAAATACCCTGCAATGACTGTGAGTTAAGTCAACTACATTGGTCAAACTAGTAGATCGGTGGTAGTCAGATTATCAGAACATAAGAATTTGGCTTCAATGTAGAATGACTGACCCCACGAAGATAAGTAATTTAGAAAAAAAGCTAAGCAATAGCACTGCATGCATTAACACACAATAGGGTGGGGAGGGTTAAAATTCTAAAAAGTAATGTCGGTAGGTGGAGATAGAGAGACTGATTATTGAATCCTGGTTCATCGAGTCTACACCCAACACATGCAGTAGAAATGACTCAACACTCATACCAGAAATATGGAAAATACTACCACCAATCAAATCAAGAGAAGAGAAATAGTGGAGCCATACAAACGAAGTCACAAAGTTGTGTGAGTACCTTGATATATGTGATTATGAGCAGTGATCAACTGTGCTCGACATGTCATCAGTAAATATTACTGTATAACACTTCAATGTGTTTTTATAAATTCACATGCTCCTGTGGATCTCGTTATATTGGCCGCACAAAGCGCACATTTTCCAAACGCATCTCTGAACATTATCCGACATGATTAGCAAAAGTACAATACAAGACAGTTACTCGCTCAATTCTCGAACACTTGGTGAACTCAAGCTACGTAGCTACACCAGAGTCATCTCCCAAGGTTATCTACAAAATGAGACCAAATGGTGTCAGGTTTCGGCATTTGTGCACTGCGGAGGCGTTGGCAATTCGTCAATACAAGCCCGAACATTTGTCCAGTCTCTTATTCTACCATGATCTTAACCTTTTCACTAGTCGTGCCCTTTAAATTTATATTCTTTAATTTTAGTCTGCTTTTACTTCAATGATTAATTCACTATTATCACTCTCATATGTTCCTTTTATACATTTTCTCACCCTCTTCACACTTGTTAAATGGACACTCAACTACCACCTTTATTCTCACTACGCAATAACAATTTTAACTTTATCAAATTTCTAAAGATTTCTTCCTTTGTGCCATTGAGTACTACGTCATTTGCAACTTTTAATTTTTGACTTCTAAAGCCACTTCCGAATAATTATATCAATTATGTCACCCCTTATTACACAACAATGGACTACTATACATTTCTGGTAAGTATAAATATGACTGTACGGCAGCCTGTGAAGATGATTTCGTCAATAAAGAAAATTTTCTTCGCTGAATTCGTCTTTTATTTTCTTCAACACTGTGAGACTTTACCGAAATAAATAGATTTTATCCATAATAAAATTCAACCAAAATTATTCGATTGCATCAACATCGCTTATAGTGATGGTTATTCCACTCTAAATAAAGGCACCTTGAAATAATTCATATTGACAGTATTAATTTAAGAGAAGAGGCTCTATTTAGTGATGAATTGTCATAATCATAACTTATTATTATTGTTTCCTTTAGCTCCTAGAGGAACATAGGGCTTCAGCCGCTCGTCTCCATTGCGTTCGGTTCTCTGCCAGCGTTTTCGCATGGCTCCATGTCTGCCTACATGCTTTCATCTCCTCTTCACGTCACCTCCTCCATACCACCCCACCCTCGCACTGACGATCGACTCGCCGCTTTCCATTCGGGTTCCACTCGAGCAATGGCCTGCCGTGTGAAGCCACTCACTTGATGGTTTGTCTCCTCGGAGTATGGCCAATCCATCTCCATTTCTTCCTGCTTATTTCTTGCCTAATTGGTTCCGACTGAGTTGGTTCGCTCCCAGAGATCCATCCCTGTTGCTGATCTTTTTTGGCTGGCCATCTGATCTTGAGTAGCATTGGGCGGAGACAGCTGTTGATGCAGGTCTGTAGTTTGTTCGAGGTGCTCTTCATGACGCACCAAGTCTCTGATACGTATAGTAGTACTGACTTCACACTGGAATTGAAAATGCGGATCTTATTTTTCATTGTGAGTGCTGTTGACCTCCATACAGACTTGAGAGAAATGAAAGCTTGCCTTGCTTCCCCGATCCTCGCTGCTTTGATATCTTCGTCAGTTCCGCCTGTAGTTGAAACGATGCTTCCCAGGTAGATAGATGAAGGAAGTTGCTTCTTTCAGATTTCTCCCATTAACACTGGCTGATTGTTGTCTGTAGTTAACGCTGTTGCTGTTGCCCAGGAATCTTCATCGCCTTCTGTTTTCTCTATATTTACCTAAAGGCCTATCTCTGATGCTTCTTCTATCGCCAACTTGTTGCTTTTCACTTGCATATCTTCCAGTCTGTGGGAAATCAGACATATATCATCGGCGAAGTTCAGATCCTCCAAGTTTCTTTTTGTGTGGGTCCATTTTATGCCTGTTTCCTCGCTGCTCGGTCCTGTGCCTGTTACATTATCCAGTCTACCGCAATCAGAAACATAATCATAACTGCACAGATAATATTAATCAGCATATAAGAGATGCTGAAGATAGATAATGAGATGCATAATTTAATGAAGGCAAAGGACTGCAATAATCGAGCACCTTAAAAAACCTGAGCTAATAATGCTGTCTAGAAGAACGACGGAAGCTTCACAATTAAATCAACCAGCTTAGAGAACATAACTAATTTAAAACTGAGCACCCTACCGATAATGACCATTCTGTCTCAAAAAATTCCTCCTTGAAAGCAAAGAGAGACGTGCCAAAGACAACCCGCTTTATTAGATGGTTGGAGGACGTGTATACTGCTCAGCAGTCCTCCCTGTCGTTATTTGTGGCTGGCTGCGAGACAGTGCTATTGAAAGTGGAAGATATGAAAAGCCTGGATAGCTCTCTTTCATCATAGGTGGCTGCGTCCTACCTCCCGTGTCAAATGATATAATAAGGTGAGTCCACAGTCAAGGGAAAATCAATCAATGAGGTTGTGAAGCAGCAACGAGATGGTTAGGAAATGTGTTACGCATGCATCCCTAGGCAGCCATCGCCTTCCTCGACCGACGGGAGATGTTAGGTTACTGACGTAGGATTGATTAGGTTGGAAAAGAGAGAGGTAGTGGTGGTCAAACCAAAACATGGCTTCGTCAGCCAATGAAATTCACAACAGTTGGTTTAAGACAGCTACTTACGGAGGTATAGACTGCCTGACTTACATCCTCAGGATGGTAAATAAGAACCAATGAGCGCTGAAGACAATCGGTGATATGGCTCAAAATGATAGTTCTCAATGGCTGGCGCAGGTGCATTCACTCTTCGTGATTTGTCATATACAGTAAAATTCTATTGTTGTTCCATATTACTATTCTTTTTCCCTCACTCTCATTTCTGTTTACTATCGCTCTCTCTCTCTATTTTGAATCTCTCTTTACCCTCTTCTCTTGCCTTGTGTTCTACATGGAGTGGAGTGTGGCAAGTTGAACTACTGCACATCCGTGCAAATTTCTACGTATAAACCAGTCAGTCAGTCAATGACTTTTAGGGTTACCAGGAGAGATGATTGATAAACTAGTAGACAATTTTTCAAAGTTCACACTTTAAATTAAAATATGCGTTGAGAATGCTGTCTATTAAGACAATGCAAACGGCTTCACAAGTAAACCATCCAACTCAAAGAACAACAACAACTACACCAAAATTACCCACTTGAGCTTGAAATGTAAGACGATACAGAAAACTTTTGTCTACATCTTTCAACTGCTCCTGTGGAGCCAGTTACATAGGCCGTACAATTAGGCGTGTTTCTCGTCGAATTTCCGAACATCACCCTGCCTGGTTAAGCAAAGGTCAAACAAAATCTATTCTTAGCGCTATTCTGGCTCATCTCGTGGATACAGAAAACAAGATTGATATCAACGAGGCAGCTTCCAAAGTCATTTATCGCATACCAACAAATCTCAATTTCGCCTTAAGAGTTCGATTACTAAATATTGCTGACGCCGTTGGGATCCACATTAAGAAGCCTAATTTATATGTCCAAAAGAAGTCAGTTCAGACATTGTCCTGACCTTGGCCATTATTATTATTTAAGCATCTTTAATGAACTGTAATTCCATTGTGATCTTACTTTACAAATCGATATTATTTAAAAAACACGCCAATATTGTTATTGACTACTATTCTAGAGTATTCTATGTATATAATTACACATATATATAATTGTAGAGCCGGAAGAGGAATTTGTCGAAAAGGATATTCTTTGCTCAATTATAATTATCTGTCAAAATCTTTTCTTTTTTTCTAATATATTTTCTAAAAAAAAATATTTCGATAAGTCATCATCATCATGTACAACACAATAAGATGAAAACAAGATAAGGTAAGGTAAGGTAAAGTGAGGTGAGCAGTAAATATAAATTCCTCTTAGTAAATAAAACCTGAATTTTATCCTGTTTTTGTCTCCAGTGTAAATATACAACTAATTAAAGATGCCATAGGATCTAATTGACAATTGTTAATCAACAATGGATCTTCCAATTGACTCATTTGACCCACAGATAAAGAATGTTTCCAATTCAACAAGAAACCAAGTGAATCAGACGACGACGATGTTGTCTTTGTAGATGATGAATTGCTTCTTGTCAAAGATGTTGACGATGATTTTGATGAGGATAACATTGATTGTTGTTTAATAAAGTTGAATTGTGATTTAGGCGATTTCAGCATATTAGCACTGTTGCCCACTGAATGTGGATTAATAGTACTTAATTGAAATACACGAATATCAGAGAATTCACCGTCAGAATCTTCATCAAAATCACAATCATCATCGTCAGCAGCAGAAACAGCAGTACTAGCAGTGTCTTTATGCATTGGTTGGTCTCTTTGCCTAATATTCTCTTTATCATGTTCCAATTTAACTGGATCATTATTATTGGATAGGCCAGAAGACGAGGATGTTGAAAGAGATGGACTTGGTGTGTGAATAGAATTTACTTCGACTTCAATAGATTGTTGACAATTACATTGAATTAAATCATGAGTCCATGATACTGTTTGTGTATTTGGAATTAGGAATAGTTCCTAAAATTGTAAGAAAGGCAATATTTATGAGAAATAAATAAATAAAAGAAAAGAAGGGGAAAAGTAACTTATCTGGAAAATATTCTGAAAATAAGGGATATACTTCTAAGAAGAGACCATTGATTAGTAAGATCCTATGCACCAGACTTATTGTGTCTGCGAGCAGCCAAGTTAAACTTTATTATTTTTATTCCAGAGCTTTCCGAGTGGAACATGACCTAACTCTCTCATCTCTTCCTCACACGATCTCCTCCATGTCACTCTCGCACCGACGACCCATTCGTCGCTTCCTATTGGGATTCCACTCGACCGATGGCCTGTGTTGCATACACGTCAGAATCGCTACGGTCCTCCACCAGAGTTTCCTCAGTGTTACGTATGCCCAGTCATCGTCTTCCTCGACGGGCAATGTTAGCTGACTGACATATGGTCAGGCTGGAAAAGAGCTAGTGGTGGTTAAACCAAAACCAACATGGCTTCCTCAGTCAATGAAATCCACAACAAATAGTTTAAGCCACGTAGGAAGATGGAGACTTCCTGGTTGGAGTCCTAGGGATGGTAAACACCAATGAAGGCTGGAGGCAATTAATGGTAATATGGCTCAAAGTGATCGTTCTCAATGGATGACGCAGATGCATCCACTCCTCGTGACTTATAATTTCCAATAAAACTATATTGTTCTTCGTTATTACTATTCTTTTTGCCTCATATCTGTGTTTACTGACTCTATTTTGCATTTCATTTTTACTTTCTTTTCTGACTTTGTGTGCTGAGTGAAGTATGGCAACTCGAACTGCTGTACATCTGTGCAAAATTCTATCTTGAAACCAGTCAGTCAGTCGGTCAGGAGATGGATTCGACACAAACTGAGGAGACTGTTGAGTGACTTGAGGTGTCAGGTCATTGAGTGGAACCAAAATACAAAACTACAAGATAGGAAGGGGTTCAGAGGGTGACATGATAGGATCGTGTGAGGAGGAGAAATCAAGGGTGGAATGGAATGTGCTATTGAAGCCGTATGTTTCACTCGGAACCCAGGAGAATAATAACAAATAATGAAGATAGATTGTGTGAAAGGTAAAGATACTACCTAGCTGCCGAATCCTCATCAGGTGGAGAGGAGGTTGAACCCATGATTTAGTGGTCAGAAGCCAAGAGCTTCCATCACGATAACAATTAACTCAGCAGTAGCAATGTAACCACTTGTGACAGGAAATGTCAAAAACACAACGGACATTATAGATTTCCTAACATCACTACTACATTACAATAACTAAGTGGTTAAAGTGAGAATATTACATAATCAGGAGACAAAATTACAATTTAACATTCACATACCTTCAATTCATCTCGAGTAAGTATTCCAGACTTTGTATTCGACTTTTTATCAATAAAATTATACAAATGATTGTTATTGTTGTACATTGATGAATTGACTAGTGTTTGACTAGTTAAAGCCAACTTAGCTGCTTGCCGTTGAAATATTCTCTCTTCCATACCACCAGCTGTGACCAGACGGTATAATCGAACTGGTCTCAACTGACCTGGGCGCCAAATTCGAGCCATTGCCTAGAGAAAAGACAAATCGAGGGAGAAAGAAAAATCAATTTTACTCTGCTGATCAGTTCATCAGAAAAGCAGGTATCAATTAAAAAAAGAGAATTACTACAGCTTAACACAGATGTGTATCCACGACAATGCCCGACCGATAGGTGTTACCTTGAAGTACGGTGGTCGCCAGGCTTGCACATCGCAATGTCCCAACAAGCTACAATGGCTGGAACCAATGTTCCTGCAGGTCCTACTATGCCAGGAAGGTTGTTAGGATAGCGATTAGACTAAAAACAGTTACCGGCATTGTGTAAGAATCTTTCTTACACTATGCTGGGAGTCTGAGGGCGAAGTCGTACTGCTGGGGAACAGGGGTGTAACAGTCGCAGTAAGGTGTTTCCCTCAGATGACCAGCATGCCAGCTATGCTGTCTCTCCACTCTAGAGAGACGGGGTTAGAAAAGGTCGACCCCGAAAATTGTACATCCCACTTACCCCACTCTGGCGGGTAACTGGCGGTAAGTTTACTAATACGGAACCAAACCAAGAAACCAGTTCATATAAGCCGTGTATGACCGGCCTCAAGCAGTCGTCCCCTGGGCTCTGCGGTCACGCAACGCTAACCCTCTCCCTGTTTCAGGTACTCGAAGAATCAATCAACTTCCACGGTGTGGGCAGCTGGGAAGCAACAACCCCCCATACACTTCCAAAAGCACACGAAGCCTTCCTGAGCATCTTTCTCCTTAAAGTTCTATGTCGGATCCACGACAATGATGGTGAGTTGCAATCCAATCAACAATACATAAAACTTCATCTAATTCTTATGTCCGCGGATAGCACATTTTTAATTGGCTTTCAACCTACAACTGGTATGCATTTCTCGCAAATGGAAGACAAATACTATGAGGGGTTATTTTATTCTTCAGATAAAACAGCATTTCGTGGGATGATATAAAGTAAACTGCCATTTTCTTTGAAGATCTTGGATGAAGAGAAAATATTATGCAATAAATTATGCTCAGAATTCTGCATGTCATGTTAGCTTTTTGTGCAGGACGAAGCCGATATTATTATTATTATCATTATTATAAGTTACTATTCAGTCATTCAGACGGGATCCAACAGCTTATATATATATATATATCGAAGTATTATAGCCAAGGCCAAGGTCATTCGGAAGTTGACCTTTAAGAACAAATCAGATACAGGGAATTCTATGAAATCAAATCATGCCTGCCTTTCTGGACTTGGAGATGGCGCATACAGTATTCCACTTATTCTTTGGGTACTTCTTCTGTAAATCAATACTGTGAGGTGGGATTATGGCTTTTTAGATCAGGGTCTAGGGTTAAGGTTAGAGTCAGGAGTAGGTAAAAGAACCCCTGTGAGAAATATCAATGGATCACAAAGTACTATGACCTACAGTCACCTGGATGAATGTATCTGTCGCGCATGGCACGACTCCCCCATAGATCATCTGTGTATTGACTGCGAGACACTCTTATAACACAAAAGCGATAACAATGTAGTAATAATATTATGCTTGCAATGATTTTTAGTGCATTTTTCAACGAATACGCGACTTTTTTGCATCTAAATTCCGACTGCGTTATGG